AGATAAGGGCAAAAATGTGATGGTACCATTTTAGAAAGAATATATGAGAAATAGATGCTTTGGGTTTTTTTCCCTTTCTGTCCAGCTAATAGTACAGGTAATTTTTGGAGGTCACTGTTCTTCTGTATTTAAATGTGTAAGATTGAACTTGAAAGTGAAGTAATAAAAACTTCTGGCTTTAGTTGAAAACTTGAGCAGTTTCAATAGACTGACAGTTGGCCATTTATGTGCAAAGAGCGACTGACTGCTGAAACAGCTGATGCGTGTGTGCTGCATCCTTCTGACTAATGTATGGGAAGGACAAGAAAAGCAGTTTCTCCAAGAGTGACCTGAATGGAAAACTTAGTTGATGTGGTCATCATGTGGGGATGGTTTTGGCTGAACTACCTGTTCACTTTTTCTAACCTTCTCTTTCTGCGGTGCTAGGAATATCTCACAAAGTTAGGTAACACCGAGTGCCATCCAGAACAGTTCCTTAAAAGAAGAGCTGATTTGGATAAACTGTTGATTATTATCCAAAATGAAGACATCGCCAACCTCATCCATAAGGTACTTCACAAAACAAATGTCTACTATAGAAAGCAGTTGTTGAAACAGTGAGCCAGGCTCACAGGATTTAAACAATGCCCTGTGTTTAGCTGCTGTTTGAAGAAACAAAAATGCTTATGATAGGTAACTTCTTTTTGTCCGTCCCCTAACTCTGTCCACCTCCACATATGTGCCAATGAATGTTTATTCTTAGTAGTTGTAAAGTTGTAGAGAGGCCTGAGTAGTTCCGTGATGCTGCAATGGCAAGTGAGGTTACTGTAGGCATTCCCAGCAGCTGTGGTTTAGGAGCCTGGGCTGGATAGGACAAGCCATTATTGTAAGCGCCCAGAAGCATGAGAGCTGCCACTGTCTCATTCATGCAGTGTTTTTGAGAGCACCTCCCAAGGCAAGAGAACTCTCTTACTCTTTGAAAATGTGTTTTGCAGTTTGATATTTGCTACTACTCAGTAGGGAAGTTCTGTAGTTCCTGGTTTTGTATGAGCTTTGGTGTACATCTCTGCTTCATAACGTTTTAAACAGATACCTGGCCTAGTAACTTTGAAGAGGCTTTCCTGCGTCAGCTTTGCGGGTGTCGATAGTCTGGACGATGTGAAAAATCACACTTACAATGAGTTGTTTGTGTCTGGTGGTTTTGTTGTGTCAGACGAATCTGTCCTTAATCCGGAGTCCATCACTACAGGTAAGTGGGATGCTTCCTGAAGCTATAAAAGCCCAACAATTCAGTACATGGCGAGAGGTGCCACACTCACCACAGGGAAGAATCAGATTTTCTAATTTCCAATTTTGTGAGGTTGTTGGAGAGCTTCAGTTAATTCAGTCTCTTCCTTACCTTGGTGGATGTTTTGGACAACATATTTCTGGGAGACATGGGGACTTGAGGATCTTGTCTGTGTTAGATGGTGTAGTTACGTGTGGTGTAGTTACTTATGTGGAACCTGTTACTCCCTACTACTCACTCCACAAATCTGCTAGGAAAAAAATACTGAAGACCTACATTTTTTCCCCATTTTATCTTTACTTGAAATGGAATAGTTTAACAGAGTTACTAGGTTTTTAAACAGCTGTTTTAGCAAGTCAGACTCTGACTGGATTCAGCTTTTACATAGCAGATACCACTGTTAGGCATCTGACTTGCAAAAAAAGCACCTTGGTTTTGGGATACTGTTCTTGGTTGATCTGCTAGGAAGAAAACCCAGAGTCCTTGGGCCAATGTTCATAGTTGTATAACTACACTTTTAAAACAGCAAGATTTATGTGTACGCTGAAGCAGTATGTTCAGTTTGTATACCACAAAATGTAACTTTTATTCAATATCTCCAAAACAGATAAACTAAAACAGTTCTTAAAATTCCTGGAGGAGCTCAATACCCCAGATGGGAAATGGCAGTGGAAGGTCCACTGCAAAATACAAAAGAAACTTAAAGAGCTGGGGAGGTAAGTAGTGTTCTTCAACTACTAATTGTTAAAATGCTTCAGCTTTAACTATGCTCTCCAGCACCCAGTTAAGTGGAACTTACTGTTTTGACTTCGTATTTAGACCAAGCTTAAATCAAGTATCTAACAGCGCACTTTTTCCATCATAGGATGAATGCCAATGCCCTGAGCCTGCTGAGCCTTCTGAACACCTACCAAAAGCAGCACTTGGTTGAGATTCTGTCCTACCATAACTGTGACTCTCAGACTCGAAATGCCCCAGAACTGGACTGTCTTATCAGGCTTCAGGCTCAAAACATACAGCAGAGACACGTTGTTTTCTTAACAGGTAAAGTAATGACTGCTTCTCTCCTTTTTTTTTGACAACAGGTGCAAATACTAATACAAAATCTTTTATGTATTTAGAAAAGAATCTCAAACCACTTTCGATTTATGTTGATAATGGAATAGTGGTTGCTGCTGTTGATGACTTCATGCACAATTTTAAAAGTCTCGTTGGGTATCACAACTCAGTCACTGAGGAGAACAGCCTTCCTCCTGCTGATGCTCACAGAACCCAATCAGGTAATATGGAACACATTTAAGGCTATTTACTGAGTTAGATGGTGTGGGGTGGAGGGCCTGGGGATAGGGTGCCTGTACACTTGTAATGAACGCTGCCCCTGGCAAGGAAACCCCAACTCAGAGCTATTCTTTTTTCTAGTCTAATGATGGGGGAAAAGCAGTGTGGCTGGAGCACCAGAGTAGATGTTACACATAGCTCCTAGCCTACATAGCAGGGTGCTTGAGAAAGTAGAGAGTGGTGTAACCTCTGTTCTCAGGAGAGGAATGGACTTGAAACTGAGCTGTTAGTAATTGTACTTCTTTAACTGACTGATTAAATACTCACCTGCTGTAACTTTAGATGCTGGTTTGACATTAACCCCCTTGGAACTGGGAGTTGGGATTTCCCAACACTAAGCATGAACACAGTGCGCAGAAGCTTTAGCATCAGAATAACTGGACAGTCACACAGAGGGTTACGTGTGTGTGTTGAGTGGCAGAAGACCAAGACATAAGTGATACTGGACTTGGCAGACCTGAAGCATAACACTTTGTGAGTAGTGTATAGCTTTTCTAATGAAAGTGTGTATTCCAATAGAATAGAACTTTCTCTGTCTTCTAATCTAGAAAATGTAGAAAATGATGTAAAGGATGAGGAGGACATGTCTCTGGATTCAGGGGATGAAACAGCACAAATAGAAATCTGCAGTGATGTTCATCATGTGGAAACTGTGCAGGCAGAGGCCAAGGGTTCAGACTGCAGAGAAAGCAGTCTGACAGTTACAGAGTTACCTCCTGCAGCACCAACTGGCCTGTTGGAAAAGACTTCTAAAATTGACTTGGAAGAGGTACAGCCAATAACTCCAGTTTCTACAACATGCTCTACTGAAGGAGGAAACCACAGTTCAGCTGAACAAGCTCCCTTCCATAATCTCCAGGTTTACAGCACACAGTTAAACATGTCCCACCAGTTCAGCCACTTCAATGTTCTCACTCATCAGACTTTTCTGAGAACATACCCAATCTCATCTGCAAATCAAAACCAAGAAGGGGGCAACTATTTTCTATCTGCGTACAGTCAGAGTGTGGATACAGAAAAGTCATCATCGCCTGGTGGCTGGGACGCAAGTTGTGATTCTTCTAGGTCATAATCAAACCAGAAATAAAATCCCAAGTCTCTTTTTGTAAGTTGCTGTGGACTTTTCTGTTTCTAAAATGGTGGGTTAACAATTTCTATTTTATTCTGGAACAAAACGTTTCTTGTTCTTGATCTCAAATGTTTTCTTGTCTTATTTAAAGCCTGAGGGCCTGTACCTGTTGGAATCGTCTGAAGATTGAAATAAATATATATATTTCCTAACATTATTGTACTTGAATTACCTTCTTTGTTGGCACTTTTAAGTTTCTACATTTGTATTTGGCCTGTACCTGGGCTTCAGTTTTTGAGGGTGTGTTTAATTGTAAAACTGAATGTTTGCCTAAAATATGTGAAACAGTGAGGTTTGGTTTTTGTTTCTTTTTTTTTTTACTGTAAGAGTATCCAACTCACATTTTTTTCGTAAATATCAAAACTTATGTATTTATTTGAGACAAATTTTGTACAAATGTTTTTACGTGACTATAAGTCAGTGTAGTTAGTTTAATGACTAGAGACTGGATCTTGGCTAAATACCTCAATCAGAGTAACCAATGGTGCAGTTCTATTACAAAATAAAATAAACTCTTAATGCACAAGGGACTTGCTAACACGTTGCCTTGTTCGTGGTTTTTATATTCATTTCAGAGCCTGTGAGAAACACATCCAAACTTTGAGGAATAGTGATTATCCTCATGTCTACTGTGGCTGCTCTATGCTTACTGCAGCACCATCAGAGCCATCTCACAACCTTTATCTTACCATTGTAATTTCTGTACAGACCTGCTTTAATGACTCTGGTAGTTCAGTCTGCATTTGAGAAACCTCCATCCTCTCCCCCTTCAGTAATGATTACTGGGGCTTTCCTCGGTTTTTGTTACTCTTTAAACTGGCATTGTGGTGTTAATAGAGTTTTATCAATTTCTTATTCTTTTTAATTTCGTATCTGCTGAATTATAACATATTTTTCCCAGTGTTTCTTTCTCATTGTCTTATTTCATACCTCATTTTCCAAGTCAGCTTCTGGAAAATGGCAGCTGCTGGCAGTAGATGTGGAGTCTTAAGAGGACCTTTGTTCTGACACTGCTAGCTTTGTGGGTACTCATCCTCTGCTCCTATAGTCATTGCTCTTGGCTTCAGGTTGGTTTGGTTGGTTGGTTTTTTCCTGTTTGTAATTTATTTTAGTGTGTTTATAAAGGATGTATGTTTTAATACCAGATGACAGTGATGGAAACTACATGACTCTGAACGTTACCTGGGACAAATACTACAGGTTAAAAAAGGGTAGCTTTAAAAAAAAACAAACCCCATAGACATCCTTAAATTTGAAAATCTTCTATTAGCAGTTGTGTGGTTTGTTTAAATCAAGAACAATCCAGTCCTAGGCTGGGGTAGGAGCTGTCACCCTCCCACCAACCATGGCAAATGCATTATCAAATTAAAAACTCCCCTGTATCAATAGACCTCAATGGCTCTTGTGAAGAACTGCTGTCCACCCGCAGTGCAGAGCACAGAGTCTCGCCACCTGCATGATGGGGGCACATCCCTGAGAGCCTCTCTTTCCTTCACTGCTGTGAGGTGGCTTCAGGTTCAGGCTGTGGCTACCAACAGCAGCTGCAGGGAAGATCCTTAGGCTGGAGGTTCTGTGGCATTTACCACATTAGGTCATGGAACCACTACCACAGACTCAGGGTATGCATCTTCTGCAGAGATCTGGAAGAGAGAGAAGTTCCCCCCAGGTTATCCTGTGAAGACTAAAAGCAAACTCATCTGAAATGAACAATTCTGACTGGAAGCGCTGAATATTGATCCCTGCAGACCCTGTTTACGAGAAAACTTCCTTAAACTGAGTTCCACTGCCTTGGGCCCAGCCCACTGCAGTGTTCTCTTATCCTGGTTTAATTGAGAAGGGGGAAACGTTTAGAGTCAGCACTTCTGTAGGCTTAAATCCTGGAATTACTGGAGTTAACACACATTGTCTATGCCTAAAAGGTGACTGAATAGTTAAGTACAAGCTGTTTCACACAGTTAAAAATAACAACCCAGTCTACCCAAGACATTCAGAGTACAGCTTAATGTTTTCATTTATCAAAATGCATCCAGCACATTCTAAAAAACCCCACATTTAACATTTTATACTGTTTTGATGGCTTATATTAAATGGACACATCTTCAGACAGCACAAAGACCATTCTAAACAGACATACCATCATTAATTTAGTGCATCTTCAATATGAAAAGCAACATGATGCTGTGATCTATCAAAATACGCATAATTTAAATGTTTTATTAAAAAGATAAAGATGGTTCATAATTAATTACAGTAGCAGACAAAGTGCTGTGCATTGCCATTTTAAGAAGCCAGAACATTCCCAAATACCTGTCAAAACGGTGAAATAAAGTTCTCTTCCTGAGCCATGCTGGGCATCAGAGCAGTCTCCAACTCCTTCTGCTTTTGCAAAAGGCCCTGAAATAAGAGTATTAGTGTGAATGTTCTGTCTTCCTCATGCAGCCCAAAGAAGTAACATGTCACTGCTTGTTATTGTTAAAACAGTTTAATTGTGAAAGCTTTAATGCTTTTTAAATAGACAAATAAAAGCAGTACAATGGTAACACATTCAGTAGAGAGGGAACCTGAGGTTAGCCCATGTTCTGCAAAAGACTCGATGTGTAGCAGAAGTAGGACCCAGTCCAGTTTCCAGAGGTGACTTTTCCACTATATTAAATTTAACTTTCTTAACTCCCCTGTGCATTGTCACTTACAGCTGTAGCATTCCAGCCTGTTCTGGTACCAGCTTTTAGTCTTAACATAAATTATACTCTAAGCTAAAGGTTGGCATTGCCATTTGAGTTAGAACTGTGGCAGACAGTTAAGGATACACACACTTACTTTCAAAAGGTAAAAGGTTCCTGCTTTGTTAATGGCTCTCGTAAGTACTAAACCCTGACTGACTTCTGCAGTACCTTTATCAATTATTACTGTTATTATGGAGTGGTTTTGCGTTTAGGTTGTTACAGCATGTTCCAAAATGAAGTCGTGCAGTAAAGCGCCCTAAATCAACACAGAGCTGAGGGGATAAAAAAGTAACATTGAGAAGTGGAACAAAGTCTGTCATGTGGTTTGCAAAGGTAATAAAAAGGGCCTAGACACAAGTAATCTGAAATGCTTCCATAGGGACAAGTCACAAGGTCTTTCTTTGCCTGTCCGTGGACAGCCTGATGGTGGCTGGCACTTGGCCTAGTCACTGTAGGCTACAATCTCCTGGCAAGTGGTTTCAAAATGGAGATGCTCTGGTATGTAGTGACTGTAACTGGGCATGGATTTCAGAGGCTAAAGACTGGTCAAATATGAAGACTAAAGAATGGCTGACTGTGTTAATATTTGCATATTCTGAAACGATCAATCCAAAATATGCATCTATATAAAAATTTTATAAACAAGACGATTATCTTCTGAAATAGAAATGTAATCTTTGCTTTTTGCAAAGTGGAGTAACTGATGCTAAACTGGTGCCATCTGTAGGAGTGCGCACCCAACTTCAGCAGCTAACAAAGTCCTACGTGCATTCTGCAGCTGGTAGGACATTTAAAAAAGAACTTGACATGTTTTCAGTTAAATCTCTCCCAGAGCCAAGGCCCACTGAAAGACTAATCTTAGCTACTGTTAAGACCTGAATATACACTACGCATCAGAAGTGTCCCTAAGTGCCTGCCTCCTAAGTTTGCCAAAGTGGATATTATCACCTTAAACCTCTTTAAATATCAGTAATTTTTAAATAACTTTAAATAATTTTAAATAACTTTAAATATCAACAGCTTTTGATTTTTGCTCCTCAGCAAGCGCAAGGATCAAACTCTGCTTTGAAGGTGGCTTCACTTTACTCTTAACCAAAATACCACTGAGAAATGAAGGCTGAATACAAAATACTGAACAGCTGCAGATACTTAACAAAAATATTAATGAGCACTGGGGAAGACCAGACCCAGTAAAACCCATTTGGAAGACATTAGAAACTAGCAACCTTTCAGTCTTCCTGGGTTGCAACTTCTCTTAATACCTTGGAAAGACCCATGACCGTTTTTGCTTGCACAAGGAATTCATCTACTCCCATAGCACAATGTATGTGGGGCAGAACTTGTGTCTTTCTAAAGCATAGCAGGTAATTAATAGCATTAACTATTGGTACCTTTTTTGTACTTAAGGCTATCAAATTGTCTTCTCTTTATTTGGTATTACTAGTGCTGCTAGTAACAAAGTACTTTTAGTACGGAGCCTTTCAAAAACCAGGATGATACTGATACATGTTTATCTTTAGTGTTCTACAAGAACAAAATGCAAACCTAAAAGTGAATGTGTTTTCTTTGTCTTGCAGTCCCCTGTCAGGACATTTAGAAGCATAAAAGGAAGCTGTTCAGCGATTGTTCAGACCAACAGCTTTAATCTGTCATGGGCCGCATCTTGTTGCCAACAGGTAAAGTATCAAATTCACTCATGTTTTAATAGTGAGATGCCCGACTTTTTTTCCTGGCATTCTGACTCCAATCAGGAAAATATATAACTTCATGGTTACCAGCTTCTGGGCTCACCCATGAAATGCAGAAGTGAAATTTCATTAACAAGAGTTCTAGTATTTTGCTAAAACACGATTCTTTTTCCCCTTGAAATTGAAACATTCTTATTATAAGCAACCCTAATGATCAAAACCTGGAGATTAAATGAAGCCATTCCTCTTGGCTTCAAGTTTTCTCAGGTATTCCTCAGTTTCATAGCTCACCAAAGGACTAAAGAGTCCATAGTCCCTCTGGATGACACTCCAAATGTGAAAGTATTGCATGAAAAGCAAAATTAGTGAGAGGAAACAAAAGCGTAGAGGAGAGGGCCCAAACCTTAATCATGTATGATGATAGAATTAATTAAAGGCTAATGCTTCTAACTATAGTTTGCAACATTCATCTTGACTTTTAATGTATAAATACACACTTTTATCCAGTAACAGTTTGCTTACCTGTCGTAATTCTGACAATCCTTTGAGAATTGCTTGTTGTCTCTCTCTAACTGCATCAGGATTTAGAAGAGGATCTCTCACATGATCAGAGCTAAGAATCTGCCTTGGCATTTGGCAAGAATCTGAAAGTAAATACAGATCAAATCAGTTAACAATACTATCGTTTTTTGTTTAATACTGAAGCAGTAGATTGTCACGGCTTGTGAAAATGAGGTTTTGGTTGCTCTCGGGTTACAAACACATAGATTGCTAAACGCAAATCAATACGCAATACCTGAGAAATGCAGTTGCACCTCATTAAAGGTAAACAGACAAAAAAGGCAAATAAAAGGATAAGAAATATTGTTGCTTTTCTGATTTTTACTTTTTCTGTTTTGTTTTTGTGTTCTAAATACAGAGCATCATCTATTTGCAAAGGCTTTCTGCACGTTCTGACACACGTGGGCTACAGCAAAATTCAGTAAAAACAAATACCAAATAGTATAAACTACAGCACTCGGTTCTAAATCACTGTAACACTGCTTCTCTTCTACATGAATCGGTTCACAATACATTTCAGTACCATTGAACTGTCGATACTGTGGGTCATGTGTTGAAGGTCTAGTCACTGGTGCATCTGGATCAAGATAATACACTTCATTTGTTCGAACATATGGAATAAACTGCGAAGAGGGAGGTCTTCCAGCTTCTGTAATGGGAGGAGAGGAGCTCCTCTGCTGGGGATCTGGCTTGGTATTTTTCTCTCTTCTACTACTGTTGTTATGCACCAAGCAATTAGAAACCTGTGTCTGTTTTTGTTGCATTTGGTGTAATCGGTTCTTAACTCCTGGAGCAGGTGGTGACTCAGACCTGTATGAAACAATTTTAGTTAAAAAAAAACCAAATAATACATAAGTAACAATCTTCTCAAAAAGGTAGAGACAGAGAATCCTCAGAGGACTGGACCTGTGCCCATTTATTCTGCTGTCATACCTGCAGTTTGTCTGGTCTTGTGTGTTTTTCATAATAGACAATCAAGTGCATCTAAATTACTATTTTTGATAAATAAAGCTCAGGCAGAAAAGCCTGTGTATTTCATGTTAGTGTAGTTACACATGTAAGTGATGCAGTGTATTGACATACCTTTCTTCATTCACATGATTCTTATGTAATTGTTCTTCCTAGGAGAAAACCAAGAAAGTAAATGGTAAAATAAAAAGCTCAATGGCTTGTATATTAAAAGCTTTCGGTTTTCAGGACAAGTTTGTTCTGAAGTTTGAAAAGGACTGTTTGACTGGGTTCAGGAAAAAGACATTTATCAAAGAGACTCATAGCATCTATGAACTGAATTAAACAAGTGACAGGAGGATTGGTGCCAATTTTGTGGGTCTATGGCAGCATTAAGCACTATCAAAAATGTTCTATATATTTTCCAATTACCTTGCATTTGTGTAAGCCTGAAAGGTTCAGTCTGAGATCATGCTTATTAAAGGAAAGGTCCTGGTTCTAGATACATCAGTATCTAGAAGTGAAATCTATTTAAATGAAATGTTAACATATCCCATGGTTCTTAAGGTATCAAACAATGCTTTATTGTAAAACTCTGCTTAAAATTCCTTATTTCTTGGTACAAATTTCTCGAACATTTACCTCTCAATCACATAAGCACAGAACTCTGACCACTAACCTCAAACCATCCAAGTCAGTTTAATAAATCAGTAGTTCTTTAAAGGCATCTGTGAACAGTTCTGGATCTTCACCTTGTTTTTTTGAAATACACACAGCTTCTAAAATATGTGTGTGCAAGCACAGTAAACAAATGGTTAAACAGAACTGAAGTGGCCAGATTTTTTCTGTTGGAAGTTGTGAGAAAGGTGCTTATGTGCACATATGTATAGGTAGAGAGGGTGAGCAGTGAGGGGCAGGGAGAGAGAGAAGGTATGGATATATTCTAGAATATTTGCTTTAAATGAAAATTGTGGGTTTTTTTCCCCCAGGCACAAGCTATACCAACGTGCTTTTACTGCAAATGGGTAAGAAATTACTCCACTAAGAAGGATGCATATCTAAGACAACAGAGTTACATCCTCGGTAATGCATACTCTTTTGTGGAAGTAAAAATTCTCGTCATCAAGTAACTCTATCTGCACACTGCTTTCAATCAGGCTCCTTGTTTACATAACGAATCAATGGCAAGGAATAAATGGGAGAATCAACACTTTGGAAGACTGAAATAACAGTTAAAAGCTACGTCACAAAATCTGAATACATTCTTCTGATTGTGATGAAGGAAACAACACTGTAATACCATTCTTCACAAAAAGGATAAAGGATAGTGACAGGAAATCCTCAGTGCTTGAGTTACAGAACTGAATACCCATACAGGCAAAACCATATGGAACATGAGTGTTAAAGCCCACATAGTTACCTTTCTGCCTCTGTGTCCCTTAGTCCTTGTATTTATTTCTCTGTGAGGTGAAGATGACCTGTCTGCTTTTTTTGGGCAGAGATTCCATGGGTTGTTTCTTTCCACCAGCTGAAGCAGTTCCATTTGTCGTCTTACTTTGTTTTCTTCCCTTTGTTTCTGTAGCTGTTTAGGGTATCTTTCTGATGCTGGAATGTATCTTTTCCCAGGCTTGTTTATGTTCCAGTCAGGTCTTTTGTTGTATTTTTCTGAAGGTTTAATTTGTCTTTCTTTTCTTGCATATTGTTCATACAGATCACTGTAAATGCCACCAGTCTCTTTTCCTGAATTTTTATCTATATACTGCGTTTCCTTCTGGTGTTTTCTACTGTTAGAGGTTTCTTTATATTCTATGGAAATATCAGGTGATCCACAACACACAGTTCTTTCCTCAGCTGACTCAGTGTATGCTGAAGTGTTAAAGTAATCTACAAAAAATAATAAAGAAATTAGATTTTAACTCTAAGCTATTTGAATGACATGATACATGACTTGTGCATGTATCTGAATCTACCATTATTGATTTTATTAAAAAATTGGTTGTTACAGTTTTATAATGTTTTTTATTCTTCTTACTGTGGAAAATAGATGGGACCAGTAGAAGCCAACTCAGTAAGGAGGTGGGGGGGGGGGAAGTAAATTGGAGTACAAAATCAAGCCAGTGTAAAGCAAAATCTATTTAAACTATATTATTTTAAAATGCAGAATTCTATTTATTTCCATCATTGTACCCAAAGGTAAAGAACAAGCACAGCTTCTGATTAGTTTTTCAGCAAGGTCATATTCAGAGTGCTATTGAGAATAACTGACTTTCCCAATCCTTGTGTTCTAATGGAGGTAGTTTGTTCCATTCTTAAATTATTAATAATCCAGCTTTCTTTACTAAGGGCATCAACAGACGCATTATTTGATTTGTAAACTCTCCAAATTCAGACTAAAATTTCTACCAGCACTGTCAAAACCCAAAATACTGTTGCTTAAGCAAATAGAAATAAAACCTCCAGTTCACATGTGGTAAGCTGATACATTTCTAAATACAAGGCATAAAGCAACTGTAAGTTAGCACTGAATGTGCTCATTCACACCTCACCTACAACATTAATAAATGCTGACTAAGTTTGAGCTGGGTTTTTAAGGGTGTGGTACACAATCAAGATAAAGACTGTGAAGTAGTCTACCTGCCAGGGTATTTAGGAAGAATTGTAGAAAGCTTTTCTAAACATCTGAATGTAAGTTCTCATTTTCTAAGGAGCCTGGTTTTGTAACTCCAGAATTACTGACAATGCTTCTGACAATATTTTCAAGGATTCATGAGGAACCCAGCCCTGCTCCATATCAAACCTGTGAACATTCACACTGAAGACTACAAATCCGTGTTTAAATGCCTTAGTAAATTTAGTCCCACATGGCTTGTGACCATGACTCGCTCAACACTGTATTTCAGACTGCATGATTTGACTCTGTAACTGGTAAGTAACAACTTTATAGATCTATAATTTATTTAAAGAATACAATGATATACTGTAATATACCAACTGGTCTGTGTCTGTCCAAATATTTCCTCTAGTTTTACTCCATTCTGAATGACAGTGATTTGGCTCAGTTTCACAAATATGCTATTCTACTGTCCTTCTTGAGGTGCACTGAAGTAATTGAATTTAAAGGCTGCATACCTGTCTGTACAGCAGTATCTTTCCGAGGAGAAGCCTGCTGATCAATGTGACTCTTAATGTCATCAGAAAAATTATGACTTTGATGTGAAATACCAGTATTACAATTTTCAAATTCTGTACCACCTAAAAAGAAGCAGAATTGTTCAATTTAGTCATGTATGTTCCATTTAAACCATGCTATCAAGGTATCAGACTGCTGTGGTTTAGAACTCAAAGAAAGACTGAGAACTATGGTTCAGATTCTAATACTGTCCCTTTTTCACTGGAAATCTAATTGACAGCACATAGGACTTGAATATTCCCAATCACTCCTGGTAGTATCTTTATATTTCTTCCTTAATGCAATATAGCATTTGATGCTTACTGAAATACAATGATGTTCTGCATATCAGTTAACACTGGTATTTGGAAATAAGTAAACTGAAATGAAATCTGGTCCATGAAGAAAAGCTGCTATTTCTGTCCCAAATGCAGACAGGTAAAAAAAACCCAACAAAGCAAACCCACAAATGACTTGCACGCAAACACCAAAAGAATGAGAAAAATGAGTATGAAAAGACTTGTACTTGCCAGCACCAAGATTCTTCTGAAGTTTTGAAATGTCATGTCCCTTCTGAGCCAAGTCTTGAATGCGCTGCTCTTGTTTTAATCTCTGTGCTAATTCTTGAGCTTTCTGCGTTGTCTGATAGAGCTCATTTCTCTTAAGAGTCACAAGTTCCTTTAAAAAAAGTGGTAAAAATATGTGATCATTTATTCTGAGAATAAAATTAATAGGATTATTTACTCCCCACGTAATCTTCTTATTTTGGGTAAAGCTTTTTTTGAAGCAAACAAAACCAGAACTAGTTGAGTGAATGCAATGTGTAACATAGAACTTTTATGACTATAAGGATATATTCAGAACCTCTGCTGTGCTAATGAAAAGTGTTCGATCCTAGCATTAAAAAGCAAGCACTTAAATCCTCAAACTTATTTGGATATTTATCTCCTTTCCAGTAACTTCATCTTCTCCCAAATTCTGCCTGTTTTCAGCCACTTCTGACTTCCTAGATCATTGTGCCAAATAAAAGAAGTGTAAATAATAATTTAAAACCCACCCTCCTCCTAAAGGCAGAACATCCCTAAACATGAGGGTGACAGTTTCCAGGTGCAGGAGACTGGGACAAGGAAAATCTCCTGTCCAAACCCCTATTGCTCTCTCATCCCTACTTCCTATTGCATTTGCAGGTGGAAGCATAATGTATTTTCAGAGCTGCGCTATTACAGAGAAAGATGGCTTTTCCCATTTTGTACCAGTTTTGTTCTAGAATCTAAAGGCAGATGCTATGTTTCCGTATAAAAACTCAGAGAAATCACAGATCTGTATTTCTGCAGGTTTTAGACAAGGGGGTGTGTTGGAATCACCTTGTCTTATGAGATGGAATCTGCTACTGTTCCAAATATGAAGCAAACCATAATAGCTGCTACTGTGCCAAAAGGATGAATAAAGCATCAGACAAGGCTTTTAACCTTCTACTAAGGTAAGAATGTATAGAAATGCAAAATCTGCACTTAGAACTTTTGGTTTAACTTTTATAGGAAAGGAGTATGTAAAGCTCAGCAATAGTTAAAGGACAAAGCTCTGGAACATAAATATACTTAATGCAGAGTGAAAGCACATCCAGTGAGAAATTTCATGGTACTGAAGCATCTTAAAAGCACTGAGTTACCAACAACAATAACTGGATCACATACTCTGAGGGTTTTCTTATTTAATATTTGCATTTTGAAATGCATGTTTCTGCATTATTTCAAATGACAATTCCATTTTTGCTAGTTATTATTTCTCTTCCTGAAAAGACCCCTGTCTGAAAAAAAAAAGAGGCTCACCTTAAAACTTGCGTGCTGTTATTAACTGAGGAAACAGATTTTGATTTCAAATGTCTGAATTTCTGAATTTTAATTTTCAAAACAATGAGATGAAAATTTGGAAGGTGAAGAACAGGAAACATTTTCCTCAAACCCCAGTATTATTAGACTGCCTGCACTAAAGAAAAAGCAAAGCCCCACCTCTTTTTGTTTTTGTTTCAGCATATCTTCTTCAAACTGTTTCTGCATTTGTTCTTTTTCTCGTGCTAAGCGCAGTTCATCCTCTTGTTCTTCCCATTTTCTCTGTTCTTCCTCCAGTTGTTTCTTCTTCCGGTTTTCTTCTACCTGAGCCATTATTGCTTTCTAGTAGCATCCGGGAAAAAAGAAGAAAATTAAAAGATACAATATTAAGGCATCAAAAGCTAATAAAAAAATCAAGAACAGTTATTTCAAACACTTTTTGTTTCTTCTAATTTCTCATAAGGCAGGTAGATGCCCTCTTCCTTTTTATGTTTTAAAAAATGCTTTTATTTTTCTTGCAGAGAAATGATGGTCTATTTTTTCCCTTAGGTACTATAAGAAATATTTTGATCTAGCAGAGTAACAGTTCAACCATTACATTTATACTAAGACTTCTTTAGACTGAGACATCATCATGCAGACACACGTTTAGCTGGAGTGCTACAGATGTAATGTGAATGACTATAGATAAAAATTTAGAGATTCATGGAGTGAGTATTGGTAAATATCAGCTCTCCTGATGACAGTGGAAACTGCATGGCACCTTTTTTGAGGCAAGAATTCAGTTACAGAAATGCCATCATCTCTGTACAAATATTAAAAGCAACCAGCAGAGTCTAACTGGATGTATTACCATGAAACAACTGTAAATATGTAATCTGAAGTGTAAGAATGCTTCGCTGGGTTTTGGTATTAAACCTCATGCTTTACTCATGAGACAACACTGTCTTTCATTCTTTCTTCTCATTAAAATAGTGTTAGACTTGAAAACAAAAGTTTACCTGATGTTCAAGCTGCTTCTGCCGCCACCTGTCTCTCTCTTCAATCTGAGCAGGGTCCAGGAGAGCTGTCATTGAACGGAGGAAACTATGAACAAAGAAACATGTAGGTGCTTTTAGTCATCAGAAAATAAGTGTAAAGACTTTCTTAATTAGAAACAGTTAGTTTTCAAGTAATATTTTAATATTGAAGTTATCCCATTAATTCATATTTATGAAATTCATTTTACTAAAGAAGAAAGTACAGTTATTTGCAGTAAATTTCACTACTGAACAATGGAAATACTTGTGTTTTCCAAAAGTGAAATACCAGGTATTTCTGAAAAAAGCAAAAGCCAGATGAGTAAGATCCAAATATCAGATTTAAAGAATTTATTTTATTTTCCTTTTTAAATTTCTGAGGAGGAATCAGAAATATTCTGGCTGGGAGGATGATTATCCTGACAAAGCTCACTCACCTGGCTTTCTGATTGCATTCCAAGGCACTGCTTTTAGCAGCTTTTTCTGCATTTCCCACCTTTAAAGGCAGGAGACTGTCTGAAGCTGCAGGTGAAGAAGGGTGAATAACAGCAGTCAGCTCCTTAGGATCCGGTGACAGGCAAAGACTTTCAGGCTGCTTTTTGTACATTCCATTTAAGGGGTGTTTTGCACTAGCATTAAGGTGGTTCTTTAAAGAATCAAAATGCACTGCCCATCTGTCATGCTCTTCAGCCTAAATACCAAGCAACAAAGAAACAGAAAAGCGCTCAATTACACTGTTTCTATAAAGTATGGTAACAAAACAGACAATGCATCTTTTGTAGGACAGGAACATTTGAAAAGCTCTTTTATGGAGCTACAATACAGAGAGTAGTTAATTCCCTAAATGAGAAAACAGAAGTGTCTCTGTTTCTCTAAATGGAAGTCAGATGAGAAGATACACTGCTGATCCATATTTGATCCATATACTTGGACAGTAAAACCATATTGCTCCTGTATTTTGAGGGAAAAAAATATATTTTTAAATAAAAAATTTAACATGGATTCAGTTTTTTTTTGTACTGTTGTGTTTTGGTTGGGTTTTTTGCTTTTTTTTTTTCAAATTTATATTACTATTCCATTCCACAATTTTTCTAATATTACTGGGAACTGCTTGATTGAGAGATCAATTCCCTGTCCACCCTGCCATGCTCTCCTCCTGTTGTGTGCATACTCTCTAGCAACATGAGCAAGCAGCATCTCTTACACTGTCCTACATTTATCCCTCCATTTTAATTCTGGACAGTAGCAGAATTAATGTGCTTTGGGCAGAGATATTAATCTCCAAATTCCTATTTTTAGCTAGACAGGCCTGTTACAAAATACGCCTTCTTTCAAAATCTCTCCCATCCACAGCAGCCACCACTGTACCCTAGCACTGTACCTAAAACTTCTGTAGAGGTGACATACTAGGTTCAAGTCTGTCTTCTCCACCACCCAGGCTTATTTTTTAGCTCAGTGTTGGCCACTGGAACATTCCAATATATCACTAGTAAAAGATTTTTACCTAAGGGCCTTTGTTTATGCTATAGGTACTGTTTTCTCTTGACTAAAAGAACAGTTTCCCTGGAAGGACTGGAAAATGGCTGCCTCAGAACTTGTATTCTGCAGGTTAAAAAAATAACATAACCTGATATAATAAACTTTCTGTGAGGCCTTAAACAAAAATCCCCTTGTGTCAGAAAAGTTTCACACCTATTTAAAAAAAAACCAAGAAAATCATAGTCCATACAATAAGAATCCAAATTATTCTTCCTCCTGTTCCCTGAGTTTTGTTCCCTTTGAACTTTGTAGTGTGTAAGCAGATCAGAGTGGTTGGAAAATTTATGCACATCTGCGGTGCAGTATGCAGAAAGGTTGAGGTATAACACAAGACCTAAAAACAAAAGATGTAGAGAAAATGAGTTTAAGTGCATGTTAACTTCCTTTCAAAAAGAGGCTGGAAGGAAGATTACCGTTAGGTTACTAACTGGTGACTGCAACCATCTTCCCACAGCACATCTATCAAACTAAAAACCGAAGTGGCTAATGAAGGAACCTTTCACAGCTGTATTCCTTTCACAGTTTAAACAAACTCAATTTGCAAAGGAAATTTGATCCATTCTACAATTCAGGAAATTGTGTGTAACCTGCCTTGGCAACAAGGGTTTTTTCTGGAGGGTGGGTAGGAAAGCTCTCTTCTAGTATTACTAACTATGGAATTAATGAAGAATTTCTCTAGGAATTGTCTAACTATACACAATTTACTCTCATGCTTTATTTGAGAGTAAAAAATGTAGCCTTTTAATTCAAAAGGCCACAGGCTATGAACACTCATATCAATGAAATTTTGGTAACCAAGATTCCTGTTCACTAATGATACAGAACATCTCACGGGGTGAATACATCTACTGCATGCTGAAAGATATAATCCTGGGTTAAAGCTGCATACAGTAATTTGGAAATCTGTATTCCAGCACTAGTAAAATCTCACTGCATGTTTCTTCACTTCAAAAGACAAAGTCTTTGGCAGAGTGTGTCAGTATCAGCCTATGTAAGAAAGCAAAGTATTCAACTTATCTTGAAACTACTAGTAGAAGTAGGAACATATAAAGGAAAAAAGTCAGCTTCTATATGAAAAACCTCCAGGGCTAAAAGCTAAATTGACCAAATTGGCCAACAGTGACAGTAATAAAAGTCTCTTCAGGTATTCTACCTGCAAAGCAACTACATTTGCCACTGTTTCTTTCTAAATCCAGCATAAAAGACTTACATTCAACTGCTATGGAAAACCAAAGCGTTAAAAAGGTAACGCTATTTTCTTCAATCCTTTTTGGAGAAGCATTTAAAAAGGTTTTGTATGAATATATGTGTATTAAAATACTATTTCTAGAAACAGGATTTGAACACCACTGTGACACACTGCAGTTGTCTGCAACTTGCCTTCTCTTTTCTTATCTCCTCCTGTAATCTACAGAAAATTTCCTTTTAAAAAGTGTGTGGTCATTGTCTCTACCTTCCAAACTCCAGTTCTTTTGCTCAGTGGTGAGAAAGAAAAAAAAATATAGCAGTATCATTGCCTTCACCTCTGCAGCAAGCACTGTGACACATCACGTGAGACACATGTAGTCTGTTCTCTGCCACTGCAATACCGGAACAATACCTGAATGTTTGATTAGACTGTTCTATGGAGCGATAGTGAAAACCTGGACATGCTCCAGGTAATCACATCTTTGTTGCTACTCCGTTAAGTCTAAAATGTCGGATTTTATTTCTCATAACAAAAATGTGGAGAAAAACTTCTCTTATTCCCAAAAGTCCCTGTAAATCACAGATACCTCTGATAAATCAAGTTTTTCTTCTGTTTTTTGTAGCTTAGCTTCTTCCTTCTGTTTGTCCAACTCTTCAAGCCACTTCTTCTGTTGCTCATGCTTCAAAGCACTAAAAGGTTGTTCCTGTGGCACAGCTTCCTGAAATAAGTGCTAGTCTAGTCTCTTCCTTGTACAAAAAATTCAGTAACTTCTGTAGTCACATAATAATGACTTGGCAGAAATCTTTGCCCTCGGTTGCCAGGCATAACTCTGTGGTTCTCTTGCACAAAAAAAAAAAAAAATGATGGAAGTTTGTAACTGTAGCAAGTGTCTGACTGCTCCATAAAAATGTTTCAGTTGTTAGGAAGATGCTAAATAAGCCAATCTTTGATCCATCAGCCTCTCACTCCAAAAAAAACCCTTACCTTTATATATCATGAAGAAAAATCCCTTCCTTCTTCCTGTGGTTCACTGCTCAGTCTATGTTCCAGATAAATTTGCCACCATGATCTAATCGGTAGTAATCTGTCATGAGTAAATTCTAGATACCATCTTCACTCTTTTCTGCTTCTTAGTGGATATCTCTATTATTTAACAAACTCAATTAGCACTGAGGATTTTCAATGCTATCTAACAAAGATGCTCTTCAATCAGAGACTACTAGCAATAACTCAAAAACTACTTCTTGAATCTTTTGCCATCAGTATATTTTAAGTCTTCTATTTCTGATAGGTTCCTACTTTTCTTATTTCTTTAATGCATGCTTGAAAGCTAATTAGCACATAATCTCACACCTCTAGTACTGTTCCTCACATCAGCCTTGAAAATGCAAAGTCTTCAAAGCATCAAGATTTTGATAAACATTCATTCAGACACAATTCTTTAGACAGAGCAAAAAGGTCTACTGAATTCTTCTGGTTTCTACTGAAGAATTCACATCTACTGAAGAGACGCATCTGTTATCAATAAGTAAAAAGACATCTGCATGCAATTTAAAATCTTGCTCTGAAAACAAATGCTGTGCAACTGACAGCTGGTAAATCAGAAGAACCATGATCAGAAGACTGCCCAGGTGGAGCAACTGAAATATTCAGTGGAACTTTAGTAGTATGGACAGAATTTTCTTCAGTGGTAAAAACTGAGTCAGCTGGAAAAAATTGTCTGCAAATGAAGTGACTACTTTTAGACTTACTCAGCTCACCTGTTTTGTTTGTATTAAATAGCCTTTAACATATAATAAACAAGTAAATTATACTTCTAGAAGTTACCATTCATTAAAACTTCAGCCAAAACTTGTAACTCATACCCATCTTGTATCCAGTATTTCTTAATAACGTAGATTGAAATGAATTCTTATGGGGCAGAGCAGTAACTTTTATAGGAATGCTGAGTATGCCACAAAAGCAAAGCAGTTTGCTTCTGCTATAAAAACTGACAGCAGGTACAACCCTAACTTCTGCTTAATGGCAATCAATTTCATTGGAGAAGTCTCATCTGAGTACAATATATTTATCGGACACAGCATTTTCAGAGTGACAGCTGACTTTTTAAAAGGCAAGTTAGACTAGAAGTCAAAATGCTATGCACATTATTATTTAAGCAACCAAATATATGTGAGAACTCATGAACAATATAAATAAATTCATAACCAGGAATTAACCTTTGATACTGTTCCTCAAAACAAAACTAGAAAATATTTATACCATTCAGTTAGGAATCAGTCTAGAAGGACACGAATGGATTTGTTCATGCTACAAATATCTTACTTTGTGAAGTTACAAGATGGAGTAATGTAAAACAGGGAGTTGTAGGAATGCATGTCATAGAAGAGTTTAAAGTCATGACTGAGACTGGATTCTACTGGATTCATACAGAAAAGAAAATCTTGTATGAATTAGAAGTTAAGTTGGCCTGGAACAGTGCTGTGTGGAAACTGTGTGCTCTTCTGTGTTTATTGATAGCCTTACCTTATCTGGGTCAGGTGGTTCTACTTTCTCTTTATGGATTTTATTATTGCCAGGTTTTTCCCAGAAATTACCCACTTCTTCCAAACCTTCTTTCAGTTTCTTCTTCAGTGCTACCTGTTCGTCTTCAAAAAATCAAACTCTGGTTAAGAATTCCTAATACAGACATTAACAGTTTCTTAAAAACAAAACAAAAAGCAGTGCATGTCTGTATTTTGACTGTAAAATGGAGGTAACAGTAATAGCCTACACATAACTCTGCATCCGAGTCTCTGCTCAGAGATACAGAGATAACTGGGGAATCTCTCTGGGAATATTACAATACACTGAAGGCTTAATTTCCCAGTGAAAGAGGGAAAACTAACAAATAACCACATATGTAAATTCTCTCAACTTTACTGTAGTAGTCTTGGACTAGTTTAATATTATTAAAACCAATGGAACTATACATGAAAGCTACTGACAATGCAGAATCAAACCCTGAAATGAGATGGTCTACACTCCAACTGAATTCAAAACACAGCACTTGCATGTGAATCATAAACAGCTTAACTTGTCAGACAGAATTTACTACTGTGTTCCATGGTTTTTTTTTTCTACAGAGATTCTCCTTGGTTGGTGATGAGGCAGGACTAGAAACTGTTTCATGTTCAAACTGCAATTTGATATATTCAGTCACGCTTGTAGATTAGGGTGATGCTTTTCTCACTAAAAAACAAATTAATTTGTTAAGAATAATGGCTATCGAGTACTGGCTGAATATAACAAAATCAGTGGCAAGTAACTCCTAAAATAGTAAGCATAACTGAATATATTCTTTGTGATAATAGCTATTTGATTAAGAAACATTTCTGCAAGAATTTATAGATAATATTTTCATAAAATTATGAAATTCAAGAAACTTAATCTGTCTTGGAGACTAATAAAACTGTGTACTTTCCAATTTGTAGCAACTGCACTGATGTAAGTAAATTTAAAAGAGCATAAGGAACACAAGTTTCCTGCCATCCTGAATGTAATAAATTGACCAGAAATATATTCTGTGTAAGTACCTAATTCCTTCTTCCATTGGGTCTTCTTAAATTCTAACAAGGCTTTCTCCCTTTCTCTTTCACCCAATGCAGTGAACATGTCAGCAGGTTTCCAAGAATCCTTTCTAGAGAAAAGGAGAGGAAAAAAAGTAATTTTACCTCAAAAGCGAATCTGTTGATTTTAAAGGTAACTTTTAAATTAGTATTTATAAAGATTCTCACTGTGATTAAGGACTACAACACCACTCTATCAAAGACATATGTTTTGTAATTGGTAATGTGTATCTACGTACGTAACTTTCTGTCCTGGCTGTGGATCTGCTTCTTGTTTCCTGCTTGAATCAGAGCTGGCTTCATCTGGAACAGATGAAACCTTACAAGCTTTTTGGAGTAATGTTACAATATTTTCCTCTGATGCCTCAGTAGTACCTGCGGTAGAATATAAATATATTAAAATATATATATAAATATGACCATTGACCTTTCCTCAACATTGAGTAAATACTTCAAAACCAGGAGAAATTTGCAATTTCTCCACTATTTAACACAACTATTGTAATGTTAAAGCACATTAAGTTCCAACACCACAGGGTATTTTTAGAATGCTAGACTTACAGTAACTTATTCTTGGCTAAGAGCTCAGCCTTTGGAACTTTATTTAACTGCAGTGTGTCTTATGGCAAAAAACTGACCACCTCCATTGGTCTACAAACAGAAAGATATGCAATAGTTCTTATGCTTCTAAGTAGAGGAACAGGAAAACAAACCCACAACTATTCAACAGTTAGGCAAAAAGATCAATCTTTGGGCCAGAGGACAAAGGCACTACTGCTCTTGAGACACAGTTAGACCTGAACTCTTCACAAAACTAGGAGGGCCTATCTTTTTGAGGAACTGGGTTGTTTGGTAGGTATTTTTTGTTCTGGTTTGTGTTGTTTTCCCAGACTCCTAATGGTAATGGTACAGTGCAGTTCTACTATGTTCTTTTTTGCCCAATGTAAAATGGTTTCTTTTTTGCATGAAATATTGGCAGAACTGCTTGCAGTTTTGCTCTTCAATAAAATATATAATCAAGCAATCCTTAGTTTTTATTCTTAGAATTACCAAATGCATGGTTCCTAACAGTAACAGGCAATTTCACATTGATAACAGAAAACACTATTTTGTCTGAGATTAAACATACAAGTAACATCTCTGCAGCCTGCAAATAAACTTAAATGATGAACTGTAAGTTAAGCTTTCATATTTTGCTCTGTTTCCATGAAACTAGCTTAAGTATTGGTATCTTACCCATTTCCTCTTCCTTCTCATTATTAGTCTCAGAGATGCTTCCAGTTCCTTCTTTTACAGTCATCAAAATCTGCTGAAGCTGTTCTTGTGTTAAACACACCAAACTACTTAGGTCTTCAGTTGACACGCACGGGTTTTGAGGTTTCTGTTTGCTTTTTTTAAGAACATTAAGATTCTCTGAATCAGGGCATCTGTCTGTGCTACCTCTTTGGAAAATCAAAGAGTGGTCTTTAGTTGTGGCTTCATCTGAGAAGTGTTTAGTGACTTTCAGTTTTTCACCTTTTGTTATTGATAATCTTGATTCACTCCTTGGTTTTGTTAAGTTTTCCTGCTTGATACAAGCATTTTGTGTTGACCTCAGAACATGCGCAGTGTGCCTCTTTCTCAATGCCTGTTTAGATGCTCTGCCTTTGTTACCCATCTGTTAAAGCAATAAGATTTAGCCATAAATTAAATAAGGAAATATAGTTGAAAAAAAATGCATGGCTAACAAATACAAACAGGATTGAAGCAACAGGTCAAGTGTCATTTTTCTTCTCTATTACAATAGAAACTAACTCAGTATAAACTACTGAGGTATCTTCGCGGGTACAAGGAATAACTTGGAGGAGACTACAACACCTAAATGTGAGTATTTAAAATTGACAGTATGATAAATACCTTTATGTAGCAGAACATTTAGAAGAATTAACAGAGATTAATTTTCCTTTTCTTTGGTGTTTCTGATGCCTGGCTCCAAAGAGGTATATGTTTCCACCATTCAGCCAGTATTATTTCAATGTCAATCCTTTTATTCTGTACTAAAGTTTTAACCTTTTCAAGGTCCTTGATCTACTGTTGCAATTATCTCCTATGTATTGATAACTTTTTCTGCTTGCTTTTTTTGCCCAACCCATTCCAGTCATAGAACTTTTAATTAATCCTTTCTAACAGCTCTTAAGAACCTGAGAAGTCACAGAGTATCAAGTTGGAAGGGACCCATAAGTGCATATTTATCTTTCACAAATATCACTGATTACAAGCATTTAGGCAGTTCAAATGTGTTCTCAAATTTCTGTGTTAACTAGTTAATTTGCATGCTTTAAGCAAATAAGTAATTTTTCCACTTACCTTCACAGCAGGCTTTGATTTATCTTTTGGGAAACAAGCACAAACATATGAAACAAGTGGTTAAAAACAACTTCCTCCTGAAAAAAAATCTTGAGAAATTAGTAAACCGTTATATTCATCTGATTTTTGTAAGGCAGGGAGAGCGGGGGAAAGTACTTTCCCTGTAACATCTGCCTCAACTTTATCATTTTACTTTTTTTTCCAGAATACACACTTCAAAAGTATGTTGGGAAAAAAAAGATATATTCCAATAACTGTTTTCAGTTTTATACTGATCTAATAAAATTATGGTGTCAGTCTGATCCTCCCCTGCTATTCATTGTTTCTCAGACAGCTCTGTGGTAATGGCTTATTTTTTAACTGTGATTTTTCAGTTTGCTTTCTTGTCACACCCTTCCAGGAAAGTCCTTGCATCCAACCCCATCTTATTATATGATGTTACCTGTCTCGATCACTGAAAGCCTAAAGAAACAATACTTGCATAATCACACTATCCATTATTGTTCCCCTTACCTATGCCCTGAAATACTCCTCAGTCTTTTAACCCAAATCTTTCAGGATGCATAGATGTGTAGTGGTCTCAATAAGTACTATATTGGATATACTTGTTAATAAAGATCATAATATTGACACATAGATGGGATGTGGTACTCAAGAAATTATGCACATAGAATCATAGAATAGTTAGGGTTGGAAAGGACCTTCAGATGACCTAGTTCCAACCCCTCTGCCATGGGCAGGGACACCTCACATACGGCAAATGGAAAAGGCTGAGAAAAGAGCAGCCATGATATGTTAGTGCAACACATCTGTTGGAAACAAGGCTTCTTCAGCTGCACTATGCAGTTACTGCTCTGGCAGTGGTTGTTGCGTATTTTGCAGTGGTAGCACCTATACCTCTTTTTTTTGTGCATCAGTTAAAAGCAAAGTGGAAAACACTAACTTCTTAAAGCCTGCAGACCCACACTATTAATAGTTTCCAACCTAGATAAACATTTTAAAACTTAAGACAACTGACTTGCCTTGCAGAGACAGCCATTAAATCCTGAACCATCTTGGTTATGTTTCAGTAGCAAAAGAGTTCTGTGGCCATGTTTATCACTGGGTTCTCAAGCATTCATCCCTCACTGGAATAGGCAAAAGTCACTTTTTGCTTCTTTCTGGCTATTCATAACCTAAATAGTGGTATTCTATGTGCTACGCAAACCTAACTTCTCTGTGGAAAGGAGAAAGAAACATAAATAGTGTCTTTGCCATCACTGGGGGGGGGGGGGATGCATAATGTGGCTCCAAAGTGCTGTTTGAGGGTTATTTTCTTGGTTTATTTGTTTGGTGGTTGTTGGTTTTATTCCCTGTGTAACAGAGAAACGAGTAGCACCTTAAACTACTGCAGAATAACCTTACTTTAGCCCCTAAGACTATGAGCAATAGTTGACAGTGCAGAAAAAAAAGGAAATTCAAAAGTAATGTGATGCAATTGTTTTATATAATTCAACTCAAGGAAATGCTGTTTATACCAGTTGTATAAACATGTTAAGCTTGTTTAAGGCTAGTTCAAAGTCAGAGGTAATGCTTTATCTTAGAGCCCTATCCAGCCAGTGATGAAGATCATTTTTAGCATTGCTCTTTGAGGTGTTGCAAGGTTCCCAATACACTGGTATTCCTAAGTGACTCAGAATACCCCACAATGCCTCGTTAGACACCTGAATGGCAAATGCAGAAAATGAAATATAATTTAGGGGGCACTAAACAGAGTATTTCTGTATCCTGACTGCTATATAGAACAGTCAGAGAAAGTGGACTTGTGCTTGTATAGAAACATACATCTGACAAATCATAAAAATAGAATTTATTAATGCTTTATTATGAGCATATACTGGAAAAGTCTATTTCGGGTGGCAGTAATGAGAGCTAACCTAAATAAATTGCTTACTGGAAACTATAAACACCAACTGCCAAATATCAAAGCTGCTTTAAAGTCAGAAATGTGGCTAATGATTCTGTGTAAATGAAGCAGAGTTATTAGGCCTCTTTTTCCTTGGTAAGTAAGGTGCTATAATTACAGAAATTATCAAGTTATGCCAGTCAATATATAAAAGTATTTAACTTTTTATGAATGGAGAGGCAAGCTGTAAAGAGTCAAGATTATCTGCCACCTATTCCCCAGTGGAAAGAGTATACAGAAGGTCATTCTTGACCTACTGTTCAGTAACAAGTTGGTGAGCAAGAGGCCTTGTAATTAACAATGCATATATATTCTTCCTAATCTGAAAAATATTTGAATAAAGCTGTGCTTCACGTTGCTTGGATCTCAGATTTAACTTCAAGAAGCTTTAAAGATTACTTGAGATAAATGATTTTAAAAAAATACCATAAGCAGATAAAATTAGCCTAGGCTTTCCATCCAGCACTTCAGTTTCAAGCTTCAGTCCATCACTGCAAAATAAGAGAGAAGGGAATCTGAAATTTTAAGTAATCTGATAATGGTAAGATTTTTACATGAGTAACAAGAGCAACTGTACATAATTATAACACTGTATATACTGTTGGTCCAGATGGTCTTTCATACCCTGCAAGCTGCCTATGTTCGTGAGAAGTTACTTAATATGAAGAAATTGACAGCTCTTCAAGAGGGTATATTTTTATTACTGATAATAGAAAATTTGGATTTGCATGTTGCAAAGTAAATCTTCATGCTGAAGGTGCCACTCTATTTTTATACGCAGCAGTATGCCGGCCTCAAAAATGTAATAATCCTACAATATCAACTTTCAGGTACAACTAAAATCATAGATGCTAAAAATGCTAAACATGTCTCCCTGGATGCCAGTGCTGATCACAGAGGGGCTGTATTCTGCAAACAGTCTTTAACTGTGCTTGTATGCACAGCTCGCACGCAACTTCCTAACTCGCAGGACAGCACAGAGGTGCCTGAAGCTGTAACTCCAGGCGGTCAACTCGCACCCGGCAGCCGAGCCGAGCCCAGCACCATCTCTTCTGCAGAAGCCGTACGGCTGCGGGGCAGATCGCAGGAAGGGGCCTGGTTCTGGCGCGGCCACCCGTGAGCCGGCACGGGGCCGCGGCCCCAGCCGGGACTCCCTGGCTGGGTGGGGTGCTACCTGCTCACCCTGCCGGGGCACGGCGCTTCGAGCATCTCATTCCCCCGAACCACTTTGAAGACCCTTTCCCAAGGCCCTCCCACGAGAAGAGTCTGCTAACCCCCGCCGCCCCCCCCGGCTTTGTCACGGAGATCGCACGCCTCAGCAGTAGCGCGGGTGGACCGCGGGGCTCCGGGCAGGGGAAGGCCGGGCAGGGTCCCGGACCATGAGGGTCCGAGGCCGTCCCTCCCATGCCACGGTAATGGCTCCTGCTGCCAGGCCCGCGAGTCCTCCCCTCCCTGCCCACCCGGCTTACCCCAGGTTCATGGCTCTGCCCGGCAGCGGAGGCTGAGGGGCCGCGCGGGACGGCGGCGTACCGCCCTCTCTCCCCTGTGTACTGCTGTTGCCAGCCCCGAGCAAGGAACCGGGAGCCGATAGGCTTCCCGCGGAGCGGCAACCTCGCCAATGGATTCCTCGTACACTGCGGGGCCCGCCGCAGCCAGGCCTTGTGGGGGATGGAGTCCCGCGACGGGGAGACTCCGCTCAAGTCCCGCTGCAGAGCGCAAGAGTCCCGCGGGCTCTCACAGGTGTAGAAGGACAACGGGGCCGTGTGGAGGGGCGGGGGGAATGGTGGAGCGGTGAGGGACAGAAAGGTGGGCGCGCTGTAGCGGGCGGGGAAGCGCGGGTGCCCGGCTCTACGGCCTTCGGAGGAGTGGCCGTTCGCCTTTTCTTTCTTTCCTGCCCATGGTTGGTTTTGGCAAAGCGAACAAGGTAGGGAAGAGGGGCGTGCGGCTGAAGACGGAAAAGAAACGGCAAGCAAGCGGGTTCTGTGCTGAGCCGATGAGGAGTTTCACTTGCCCACCAGGGTACTGACGCCATACGGAGAACGGCGGCCTCGGGATCCCGTCGGGAACGGGGTGGTGGATGCGCGAAGTAGCTGAGAACGGAAGAGCGGCGGGAGGGCCGTCCCGGTGGTGAGCCTCGGCCCGCGCCCCCTCCACGACCCCCGGCGGGGGCCGTTTCCTCCTTCGGCGGGTTTCGTCCTGAACTTGGCTGTCTGGAGCGGGCGGTTGTGTCAGGAGGCATGGTGGGGCTTGCTGTACTTGGGGCTACTGCAGTGTTTCTGAGTGCCTGGCTTGTTGGAGCTTGTGATGTAGCCCTTGGCAATCGTCACTGCTTTCCGTGGGTCCCCCAAGCCACGCTCTGGGGGTTGGTGGATATTCGTGGACCACTTCTGACGCTCTTGAGAAGAGTATTAGGAACTGAATGTTAAGCACAGCCCACGTAAACGTGCGAAGTAAATGAATCTACATTTTGCCTCATTTTTAGGGAAAGCATCTTCAATTTACATAAGGATTTGGCCGTGTTGAAGGGTACGGTCAGCTTCAATAAAGTGCTTCAAAGCCCGTTTACATCTTCTACTCTTCAAGATAGTATTAAAGCTTACTTTTAAAGCCAGTGCTTAACTGAAATCCTTCATTTCAAAGGACATCAAGATCTTAAGACCTGTCTTGAATAGTCTTGTTTCTAGATGTAGTTAATTTTGTGTGGCCACAGGTGCCATATATTTAGGGGCAGTGATGACTGCAGCTGACAGTAATAGAAGTTTTGCCCTTTTGAGACTACAAAGAAAACAAATGTTGTGTTTGTCAAACAAACATATTCATCTTTCTAAGCGTTTAGTGTACATATTTTTTTGGGGGGTGGGGGGGCGTGGGAAAGGTGGTCTCTGTTGATACTTGGAATTCCTTCTAATTAATTTAACAGTGGTTATATACCAATTAAATTATGTTCAATTCCCTCAAAACACTCAAAGTAAGGTGTTAAAACCCCCTTAACCTTACTCTGTTTTTTTTCACTGTCCTACTTCTCCCAAAACTTAAATCATTGAAATGAACCATTACCATAGAAAGATTAAATCCTAGTGTCCTGCAGACAATCACCTCTAGATTGATGGAGGAGATGGCTGAAGCATTTTCTTCTTCCTAGTCAGCTTGCAGCATCCACAGTCTCATTGTGCCTTTAGTAAGCAGCTCTCTAATCTGCCTGATTTCCTCACAGCTGTATGTATCTGGTCATGGTGTGATAAGAGCTGCAAGAGAATATTGTATTGTTATGAGCAGGGCATGACTAGCTATATAAAGTTCACTCGTAATTTCCTTTTCATTGACTCATCTCGTTTTTTCTGGACCAATCATGGCCAAACAAAAGAAAAGGAGAGTGGGCACTAAGTCATTTGTCACTAATTTAAAATTTGTATTTCACAATGGATTTGCCAAATTAATAAGTTTCTATTATACTTGCAGACTTTTAAGTACTACAGCCAACCAGACCTGTCTCCTGATTTGCCTCCTGACAGCAGGTGGCAATCTAGTTTAAAGCATCTCTTCAAAAGTTTAACTGTCATACAGAAAATCAGGAGGACTGTAAAACCTCAGTTTTGCTAGGCAAGTGTGAAATAGGTGCTTGCAGAAAGCTGATAGTTGATCAAATGCTGCGGTGTTCAGGATGATACCAGAATTAAGATTAAATAGTTCTTTTAATGCAAATCACAGTGGTTTCAAGACTTGGGGGAAAAACCCCAGTGCTATTCTTTGTCTACAAGACCATGCAGAAAACTTGTTCTACACATAGGGAACTGGAGGTTATATAATGGAATAGAGTTGAAGGGAACAATATGCAGGCTTAGTAGGTAATTAATCAGGAGTCTGTTTCAAAAAGCCCCCCACTATTAAAGAGCAATTCAGGCTCTTAACATCAGATTGTTGGCTGTAGCATTATGGGGGAAGGGAATGCTTTCAAAGTGACAGAATAAACCAGTCTTCTATATTCTGTGTTTAATTTTGTTCTATATTTAATGCTGTTTGTAAATGAATGTGTGTGAAATGTCATGGAAAATTCACACAGTAGATTACAGGAAGACTGTAATGCAAGTATACTACTACATCAGTTTTCAGTTTTGATAGCTGCAGAACAATGGTCACTTTTTGTTCAGGTCATACCAGGTCTACAGTAAACATCTACATAATGGACTTAATCATGCTAATTGCTGTGCTTTGATAAAGCTGCATGTGTTTGGTTTTGGTATCATTAACAAAAAAGTGAGAATCAGGGAAGCTGAAACAAAGTCACCCAGTAGCCCTGTCTGAATTCATCCTCACCCATTACATTGTTGCATGCTGGTTTACTCCTTGTTTTCAGACCTCTTGCCCCCATGCATGGGAGCATTTGCATAACTTTTAGTGTATGAGATTCCTGCTAACCTTTCTGACTCCCAGGGAGAAAGCAAATTTTTTGGCTTGCTGTGTTTGAAGCTCTGTCCAAGAGTTATTAAACTTCAGATATTTTTAAACCATTTTTTAACTGAAATGTTATACCTTATTTGCACAACATATATACATGGCCAAAGGCAGCAGAGGCTTGAGAGTGAAAAGAGTAAGGCTTGGTTAGTCTAAATAAATTTAGTAATTAACTTCCTTCAAAAAGAAAAATCCCTTATATTTTATACTGTTATAAGGCAAAGGAATGTATCAAATGGCCTGTTGATTCACGAAAGTCACATCCTTAAGAGACTTATGTTTACATTTTGCCCTGGGATGCACATTTCATTCTGAAGTAAATGCATATACATGCAACACAAGCCAAAAATGGCTTCCTTACTATTCCAAACTTGAGCCCATATGCTGTTCCGTAAGATGCAAATGGAAAAAAGTAAAACATGCTTAAGTGAGAATTGTTGGAGAGGAAGGAATTAACCAGAATGTACCTTTCCTCTTGGTTTGACTAGTAGTCTCAATGGAATTTCACTACATAAAGCATGTGAGTATCTATATTCCTTTTACTCTGTTAAATTGAACAGGCTGTTGCCCTTTGATATCTGAAGCAGAACTGGTTTGGCTTACATGTAAGGTGTTGGATTAATTCTTTAACAGCTACAGCACAGATGAAGTTGGCCAAAACAATTTTCCTTTGTGCATTCCTTTATCAAATGCCATTTTTGAAGGCTCGTATTTTGTGAAGTGCAATATTTTTATATAATTAAATGGAAATAAGCAGATTTTAACTTGTGTAAAAGGACTTCCTACACTAAAAAATATCACTCCTTCCATTAATGTACACTTGGCTTTGTATTATCAGATTTTTTTTTCTTTTTTTCTTTCTAACTACCCTGGAAATTTCCTCCTGAAATATATCATGTGTCATTCCCACATTAAGAAGCAGAATTCTAAAAATATCCGATATCCCTCAACTGAATCACAGTTTCATAAGGAATCCCTCTGTAATGTTTATATGTTGTGAGAAGGATTGTATCAAAGTGTTTATTTGAAAGGAGAATTATTCTGTCCCACAGCAGGACAGTTACCTAGCATGCACTGAGAGTCCATGGTGCACTGATGCTGACAGTACAGATTTTAAGGCAGTCTAATTGTCTTTAAATTGACATACTTTTTAAATGAGCAAGAAAATCTACTGTGTTTTTTTTTTTAGAAACAATAATGGAGTCTTTGAAGATAAATCCTGCTCTGATTCGCATTTAAAATAATACTTAGCTTTTTTCATCTTTCAGTATTTGCTATGATTTAAAATCATGGGAACCTTTCAACTTTAAGACTATTATTCTATTTTATTTGAAGAGTTTTAACATAGGTTGCATCAGATAATAAAACTCCAGCCTTAATTTGTGGTTTTATCTTCCCTGTATCTTTTCACTAGATATGAAATTACTCGCCTTTGCTGACATACGTTTTTTAAATATGTGACTATGGAATCTATATATTATCATTAGGCTTTTCTGTATTTTGGACTTGATGCTTTAGCCATGCATTCCAAACTCTATAATTCATGGCATTATGTCTCATTGTATGGACTATATTTTAACTTGCCAGGCTTCCATATTAGAAATAAGTTTTGTAGTTTTATTTACTGATTCTTACCTGCAGAATTCCATGTGAATGTTAGAATCCAATATAATTGGCATGATAGGAGTTGATGTGAAATATCTGAAGAAATCTAAACATTGTTTCCTGCTACTGCTTGTCCAAAAATATCATTTAAAGGCCTTATGATTTTGAGAAGAATATAGGAGATAATACTTGTTTCTATAACACAAGGACTGTTTGAATACTTGCAGGAAGAGTTAACCAGACTTTATTTCATTTCCTGATAAATTAATCACCAGCATTCCTAAATCCTTGACTTATCATTCCAGAGGACTAAATAAAAATGCTTTCAGGCTACATGCATCTCTCCTAAGGATCATGAAACACTATACAAAGCACTTCACTCATTAATTAAACTTTTTAATAGCCCATATAAGCAAGGTAAGAGGATGGGATTTCAGTGGGAGGTAGGTGTTACGAAAGTCCCATCAGGTGGCTGCCTTGATCTCCAGACACATAAATACCATTAATATCTGGTCTTAAGTGACTTCAGAGAACAAGTCCCATTGATTTTTCAATCACTTACATACTCATGAAAACCCCACTCAGAATTGTTAGGCT